ATCTGCATCCCTGTGATTGAAACTGAGGTTCCATGAACGTTTACATAATAAAAACAGAAGGGGGCCTGAAATAGCTACATATTCAGCCCCAAACTCCATGGAGGTGAACATACAGGGGCACGGCTCTGCTTCTCTGTGTGGTTCATGCTTCTGTTTTCCCGACGAGCCAACAGACGCTCCAGCCTCAACATTCACTCTGCTTATAATAACTTAACAGTCTAGTCTGAGGGCATCTTCTGGACACTTTACAGGGGAAAGTAAGCTGTCAGATGGCTGGATACCCGCTGGTTTGGCTTTGCTGGCGCACTTAGGGGAGTTTCCACTCCACCCTCCATCTCAGCTGTTCCTAGAATTTCTTGAAATCTCAGTTTGATATCTTCAGTTTTGGGAAAACATCTCAGCCACCGTATCCACCAATACTGCATCTGCCTTGTACCCTCTGCTCCTTTTTGTTTACCACACGCATGACTGTCAATGTTGCTCAGGGCACCCTATGTGCCCCATTTTCTATAAGAAAACCCTGCCCCCGCCCCATACTTTTAATAAAGTCCTCGACACAACAGTTTAGGGAATTCTCCATCTTCTCAACAGACGAGAAGATTTGTGTTCTTTTGTATCACAAAGAAGAAGCAAGTTGAATCAGTCTGTGCACAAGCTGACCCGTAATTCGCTACATACAAACACAGCATCTGTGCATGTGCCGGTCTGTGCATACAGGTGCATGGAGTCTGGGAGGCAATGTCGGAAGATAAAAGCACCCCCCCCCATCCTGCTGCTTACCAAATTCCCGATCAGAGCCGGGGGATCACGTATCTCCACTTGTTTGAGGTCTGTTTCTGGAATTTTAGCTTGTCCTTTTGTTTGGAACACATTCCTTTGAGTCTCCATTTTCCTTGACTCTCTGTGTTGGTTTCTGTGCTTCAGAGGAAAAGCCACTTCCCAGTCCTGAGGGAGCGAGCCTCTCAGATGGAGCTGACCCTTCATCTCTGCCCGGGCTCGTGGTCGTCTCCCAAACCCTGGAGGTTGTGCAAGTGCCTACGTTATTCAGAGAGGTGCCCAGTCGTTGAGGACGTGTCCAGACTGGCCTGTGCCCAGAGGGAGGGTTTCCATCAGCACCTGGATGAGGCTGCCTGAGGGGGGCAGTTTGCCATCATACTGGGCTGTCGGAAAAGTCATGACGTATTTTTTCTATGTTTTTCTTCACTAAAATGCGTCATGACTTTTCCGACAACCCAATAATTTTTCCTTTATAAATACAAACTTATTTGCCCAAAGGGAAATTTCTACTTTATTTTGAGGCAGTCAGGGGGAGGTACCTGTGTCAACTGGTTCTCAAGTGCCTTCAGCTCAAAACAATCGCTATGCCAAAGCAGCATATTTTGGGGTGGAATGGTCTGAGCCCCTTTACTTTCCCCATAGGAAACTTCCTGAGAAGTTTCACATGTTAAAATCTTAGCTGGCACCTGTGAAACTTGGATTAGTAGCTGAGAGGTAAGAGCTCTGCAAAGGGAAAGAGGCTGTAATCTATTACAATGAGAATAAATAAGCAGAAACGAGCACATGTAAGTCCCTTTCCCCACTTTTGCCACGTCCCCTCAAACCAGGCTCCCTACCCCGGGGGACAGGTCAGTCCAGCAAAATGGTTGGGCTTCTTTTATCTGAAAGAGACTACCTTCTTCTTTAAAAGGTGTAGACACTATTTGTCCCATCTGATTCACACAGAAGCAGCATTTTTTGCCAATTTTGATTGTTAATTTTATGTGCCAACTTGACTGGACTAAGGAAAACCCAGATCGCTGGTCAAACACTAATGCTCAGTGTGTCTGAGGGGTGTTTCTGAGGAGGTTAGCATGGAACCGGCAGGCTGAGTGACGGTGGCCACGGCCGCCCATGTGGGCAGCATCTCCCAATTCACTGAGACCGAGTGGAGCAGAGCAGCAAACTCGCTCCCCTTGAGCAAAGGCTCCCCTCCTGCCCTCAGACATCGGAGTCCTGGTTCTTGGGTCCTCCACCTGGAACTGAGACTACACTACCTGCCTCCCTGGGTCTCTCATTGCAGATGGGGGACTTTGCAGCTTCTCAGCCTCCACAATTGTGTGAGTCAATCTCAATACATATCTATCATTTACATATTTATCTATATCTATCTATCTATGTATCTATCTAATCTCTTCTGGGTTCAGCATCTCTGGAGAACCCTGGCTAAGACACCAACGACTGCACAAGCTCCTCCTTGCCAGGCAGTGAGTGTATCCACGACACCGTGATTTGGGAGCCCAGCAGAGTCTCAGCCACTAACTTCTGATTGGAGCGCTTCCAGTGTGTGTGTCGCAGTATTGAACACTCGCTCTATTACCACAGGATGTTTGGATCGCCTTTTCTAAGTCGTAAGTTCCAAAACTGGAAGTAAGTCCTCAATACTGAAAAGAACTTGGAGTAGATACACGAGTTGTCTTTGTATCAAGTTGTCTCATCTGGAAACTATGTGGCACTACCTTATGAAGGAAGAAGTCCAAAATGTAATTTGGTTGAGATTGAAGGTGAAGGGCTCTGATGGGGGAGGGGTGCTCCTTGTCCCAGCTGCTTGTGCTCAGGCTCTGCGCTGGGTAGCAAAACAACCTCACTTGCGTGTGAGGCCCAGAGACTAGTTGGGGCATCTTTAAAGAGTGCATCCTCTAGTGACATCAGCAGCATGCCGGCATGAGAAGACCTCCAGGTCTCTCCCCTTGAAGTTACGTCAGGTTGGACAGCTATAATTCAACAAAGGATTCCCTGCTCAACACACAAGCATGTCTGAGAGACCTCCCAGAGACAGCTGAAGATGGGTGAATCTGAGCAAACAGCTGAGACAGGACAGGGAGGGAGAGGACAAAGACAGAAGCTGTGTGCAGCCGGGCAATTGCTACAGCCCCAGAGGCCGTGAGAGCAGTGAAGGGCAGGAGTGCAGCCCCCATTGGGACAGCCTGACTGGGGTGCAGAAACAGCAGCCAGGCCTGGGTGGCCAGCACACACTGAGGTGGGCACTGAGTCAGGGGCAAAAGGCTGGCAGCGCTCCAAAGGCTGCCAGAATCAAACACAGGATTCCGTCAACAGGGACTCTGCCCACCTTATCACCCTGTGGTCAACCAGGCAGCAAAATCCTCTGCAGATGGCAAAAGGGCTGAAAAATAAAAAATTTTCCATCCTCGCTGCGGCTAAACCCACGGCAAAGAGCAAACCAGGGAGGCATGAACTCGCCTCCCCCACCCAGGACAGTGCAGCCCAGCGGTAGCAGCTTCTGACTACAGGAACACACAGGACACCCACAGCCTGCCCTTCCCAATCCACGGCAGGGGTGCCCTGGGACCCAGGCAAATGGGCTGTCGAGGGGATGTTCACTTCCTGGGGAACAGAGAGCCCAGAAACTCCAGCAGTGCTGGTAAGAGAAAATTAAAAGCTTGTGCTTCAGCACCACCTACTGGAAAACAAAAGAAAGACTTCTACTGAAAATGAAAATGGTGGGCCAGCTGAGTGGCGCGATGGTTAAGAACTGGCTTGGGACACCAGAGGGCCCCGGTTCGGATCCCACATATGAGGGCCAGTGATGCTGCCCTCCACAGCTAAGATGCTGAACAACAGCTCAACCTGGAGCTGGGCTGCCATGAGTCACCAGCGACGGTGTAGGCTGCAGCCCCTGCTGCAGTGGGTTGCCATGGGCTACCGTGTGTAGCCAGCAGCCAGCATGAGCGGCCGGCCAGCAGCCACTGTGAGCAGCCGTCCAGAAGCCGGTGACTGATGTGCCTCACCCGGGAAGAGCACAATGATGGTGCCAACTTGGGCCAGTGAAGCAACGTCCTCCACAACTAGACTGAAGAACAAAAAATGACAGCAACTTGTCTGTTCCCCTTCCCCCAATTCCCCAGCGCTGTTCTCATCCCCCAATTCCCCAATAAAAATCTTTAAAAAAAAAAAAAAAAGAAAATGGTTTCCTGTGGGCAATATGGGAAGCGTAAGTCCTTGGGCTTGTGGGAGCTTTGGCTTTTACATGCCATATGATGTAACCTGTATTGCATGGAAGACATATATAACTTTAAAAGTTAATTTATAAATAAAAATTTTATTTTTACTTATACATTTTATTTTTAGTAATGTTACATTATATTATAAAATAATAGTTCATTAAAGCTATTTCGATACAGACTGGTTTTCCAGCCCCACAGACCTCAGGTGAAGGCTGTCTGTTATTCACCATCACTCAGCTTACCTTCACTCTTCAGTCCTTTGAAATGTAGAGGCAACAGGAAGACAGGAATTAACATCTGTAGGCCAGTGGCACAGATAGCCATGTCTACCTGATTTTCTGATTCAATGTCACTGAGCACAGCACTCGGCCTTCCACACAGGGACGCTTGCTTTCCAGGGTGACACAGGTTGCACTCGGCAGAAGATGGACCCTCATTTCTCAAGGTCCACAGCCCACAGCCCACAGCCCACAGCCACCCCGGGTGACACAGGCAGGGCTGGCAGGGAGTGGCCCAGCACTGCCATTGCCGTGAAGCCAGTCTGGGTTTAGAGGTTGGTGACCTAGAGAATGAGGAAAACCTCGGTGCTCAAGAGCACTGCTGCAGAGCAATGTCATGAATTGGCCCCTAAAGGAACCAGGGTCGACTTTCATGAATTCTGGGACAAGAAACCACAGGTCAAGACCCAGCTGCTGACTTAGGCCTCCTCTCCAGGCCAGAGTCTCGGGCTCAGTTAGGCTTTTAAAGGCTTACCAAAAATGTAGGAGACACCAGCGTGTGGTTTCCAAGATTTATTTCAGGGTGCTACTCAGAGACCTATCAAACAGCGGTGGTGTGAGAACGCCAGACCTCTGGCCTCACTCATGATGTGTGGCCGGACCCCCGTGTCTCCTGCAGAGTGACAGGAATGTGGACTTGAGCTCTGCCATGTAGTTTCTGATTCTTTCACAGATGTTCCTTCTATGTTGCCTACAGTTGCACGGGGGTCGGGAAGCTCGTTTATTGTTTAGCTCCCACCGTCCCTGCTGCGACTGTAGTGCTCTTGATAGTTCTCACATTGGTGGCCACTCCAAGGAGGACTCCCGCTATGATGGCATACAAACGGCCGACGACCACTCTGAAATACACCACTAACTCAATATTTTGTGATACCGACCGCATTCTTCTCGGAGGGGGGCCACTGTTGACACTCCCACCGGCACCTTTTTGTATGCATTCTGGAGGCTTCCAGCCTACATGGCAATGGCAGTTGTTTTGATTGTTGCAAACTCCTCTGCGGTTGCATTTTGAAGGCTCACAGTCATATACTATTGCAGCCATAGTACCATTGCAGTAGGTATTAAGACAGAACTTTCCAAAGCCACAGGGGGTACCAGTTCTCACATGACCAACGTCAGTTGTCTCTGTCCCACGGTGCAAGTCCACCCCAAAGCACAAGACCCCTGATATCAGAGACTGATGGAACCCGACATGCTCCTGCAACCGCGGCAGATGAGTGACATTGGTGCACTGCAGCCGTCCACATTTAATGTCTTCTTCCCTGCAAGCATCAGGATTGAAAGCCACAGCGACTTTCCTGCAGTGCCCGAATCGGTGGCCTTTTTTGTTTATAGCATAGCAGACGTCTGGACCCTGCACGACCCCTTCACCGAAGATCTCTCGGCAGTGCATGGTGCGGTCGGTGCAGTTGCCATGGTAGCAGTAGCCCTCCTCTGTGCACGGGGTTCCATCTTGCAGATAAACATTTTCAGGGCATGTGGAGGTGCTCCCCAGGCAGTACTCGGGGAGGTCGCATACATTCTGGATGGGTCTGCAGAGCGTCCCAGGAGGGGAGTAGGTGCAGTTTGTGCAGCACCTGTCTACATCACAGGCGCTCCCAGGCGTCAGACTACAGTCGCTGTTACAGCACGGGTTGCTATAACAGTGCTTGAAGGAGCCGCAGTCACACTGCTCGCCTTCGTCCACGACGTCGTCTCCACACTGAGCGACTGCCAAGGTCCTGTTTGTGTACACGATGTCAGTCATGAACAGGCATGATGGGGCATGGTCCATGGTGAAAACATTTTGCAGGTATGAGAAGGAACAGTTGCTGAAGACATCTGTCAGCACAGGGTATCTGTGCATAATGCAGGTGGTCCTTCTCTGGCAAACACAAGTGTCTGCATCATAGTGCAGACCAATAGTCCTCCCAATGTGCTGAGCTCCTATAATAGCGAGCAATAAATAGTGTCTGCCCAGATGACCCAGCATGACAAGGTTTTGATAGTTGCATATACTAAATATTATTGGATTAAAATCAAGTTCATGTGGCCCAGGTTTAATCACAACTAAGGCTGAGTGTGGCTTAAGAGGCTGGTAAATGACTCGTTCATAATACTTAAAAAATGGGCTACCTGGCACGTCATAGGAGCTCATGGAGGCTGGGTCCCCTTCATGAAAAATGACCATGACGCTGATGTAATACCTTATGTCAAGACTTTTGTAAATGGAGTTAAGCAAACTGCCTATACTCCTCAGGTAATGGGCACATTGTGACATATTATAGAACAGATTGTAAATTGATTGTGCAGCTATGAGGCAGCCTTTCATATTCGCTCTATGGGACGCATAAAGTTTGCTGCTGATCCTGGGGGCTGCACTAGCGTTTGCTTGAGAGAAGGGGTCCCTGGCCTCCTTGTATCCCAATCTGTATGTGGGTCCTGTTGCATTAGTGTCTGCCACTATCTGAGAAACAACGTGTTCAAACCTTTGGGAATCCTTGAGGGGTTTGATTTCATAGGCAAGGTCATCCAGCTTCATAATGCCTTCCAGGCCCCCATCGCATGTATCCATGGTGACTGTGGAAAGGGGAACACCCTCCAGGTAACCGACGTAGTAACAGTCCAGGGGGACAAAGGGGTAATCCATCTGCAAGGTTCCTTGGTCATCCTGAGTCATCAGCAGCAGATGTCTGGGCCAAAACAGTTTCTTATGCCACATGCGGATAACATGTCTCTGGCCCCCGAAGCGCAGGCTGTAGGAGAGCCAGCCTGTCATGGGAACGCCTCTGCCACGGTGCGTCTCCTTCCTGGGAATCACCACCTCAGAGGAGATGTAACGCCACGAAGGACGACCTTGAGAACACTGGACTGGAGACAGCGCTGCCCAGAGCCCAAGTAGCAAGAGGGGCGTCCTCATGGTGGCCTGGTCCTCTGTCAGCCGCGTGCCCCTGCTCAGGGACATGTCAGTGAGAATGAACCATCTGCTGTGGCCACTTCCTACCAGGGAGGCTCTGGCAGGCAGGAAACACTTCCTGCACCCTCCTCTGAGTGGGTCACCTGAGGGGATTGGGTAACAGTGCAGGGCGTGGCAGTGGGTGGGCCTGGCCATTAATTCAGCTGGGGCTGAGGTGGGACAGGTGGGCAGGCCACGTCTACAAATGCTAACATGGAAATAAGAGAAGAGAAGGAGGCAGAGGCGTGTCTCCATTCAACACGTTTGATCTTTCCTCTAGCTATTTGAACATATGATGTAGAATCGCAACACAGTTGACTTCTCCACCAAGTCTGACCCCGTCCTACTCCTGAATCTCTGTTCCCCTTGTTGTGAGCACTTGCTTGGCAGACGTTATGCTAAGTGAAATAAGTCAAACAGAAAACACAAATACCAGATGGTTTCACTTATATGTGAAATCTAACAATAAAAATTTTTTTAAAAAGGCTCATAGATACAGAGATCAGATTGATGATTGCCAGAGGTGGGGGTGGGGGAAATGGGTGAAGGGGTCAAAAGGTAAATAGGTAAATGATAAAGAAGCAAAAAGACAGTTTTAAAAGCCAAAAAGACTAGCAAATAGCAAAAGGGTGAAGTATGTAATATTTTATAGCTCAGTGGGCCTACCATTTTGCTAAAGCAGGATGGGGGGTGGACAGTAGCAACAGCATCCCTGGTTATAAAAAACATTTTTACATGCTAAATAACCCAACATATTAGCAACCGGGCCAGAGATTATTTCTGTGTGTTGAATTAGGGTTGAGGCTTTGCTTCAACTCCTCTGTTCCTTAATAAGCTCCTCAAAAAGTGAAGAAAACTATTCCAAAGGTTTCCTGAAGCCACTCCTCCCTGGAGAGTTCTACAGTTCACTTGTTTCTGCTTCTCCATCCTCCCTCCCCATCATCCTTTTCTCCCCAAAATATCGCCCAATCCACTTCCACTGTGGAAAAGCCAACAAGAGCCCAGGACACGGGGAAGAGAAGTTTCTACCTGAGTCACAGCAGTGGCTGCCCAGCACACTCTTGAAGCCACAAGTGTGAACCAAATGCAAAACGTCCCCTCCAGTGACAACACCAGTATGAAGTCAGTGGTTTGTCTCACCTTGGCCTGGGCAGGCCTCTAGGAATGTCACGCCCATTCTGAAAAAAACAACAAGATATTGGTGTGTTTTGTCCTCTGCCTGGTGGCTGGATCTCCTTGTGAGTCTTGCAAAGATTTCATTATGAGCCTGGGGTGTCTGGCGTTAACACACAAGTTTCCTCTTGTCCCCAGGTGTCCTGTCCCAGGTGCAGCTGCAGGAGTCGGGCCCAGGACTGGTGAAGCCCTCGCAGACCCTGTCCCTCACCTGCACTGTCTCTGGTTACTCCATCACAACCAGTGGTTACTGCTGGGGCTGGATCCGGCAGCCCCCGGGGAAGGGGCTGGAGTGGATCGGGGACATATGTGCTAATGATAACACTAACTACAGCCCATCCCAAAAGAGCCGCACCTCCATCTGCAGAGACACGTCCAAGAACCAGTTCTCCCTGCAGCTGAGCTCTGTGACCACCGAGGACACGGCCATGTACTACTGTGTGAGGGACACAGTGAGGGGAAATCAGTGTGAGCCCAAGCACAAACCTCCCTGCAGGGGACTGGAGGGCTGGGCTGCAGGGGGCACTCGGGACACCAGGGGGCGCTCAGGACACCAGGGGGCGCTCGGGACACCAGGGGGCGCTCAGGACACGAGGGGGCACTCGGGACACCAGGGACGCTCGGGACACCAGGGGGCGCTCGGGACACCAGGGGACGCTCAGGACACCAGGGGTGCTTGGGGCAACAGAGCATGGGGACCAGGTCATGAGCAGGTGAATGGGGGGATATATCCTCTGATAGTCTGGTCAGTGGTTTTATTCTCCATGAGTAAACAGCCTCCCTAAGGATTCACTGTCCCTCTCACCTTAATGTATCACATTTCCTTTAACGCCATTAGAAGAAGTCACTTACTGTCTCTGCCCAACTAATTAGTTAGAAGGAGTGCTTAATATTTCCTTTGGTCTCTACTCCAGGAAACATTTCAAATTTAAGGAGGCAATTGGGAAAGTCATTGGGCAGTGAACGGGGAGATGTTACCACAGCACCAGCAACCAATGACCTCAGGCTGCGGTAACAAAGGGGCAGTCTGCTGCCAGCCTGCCTCTATTAAACAAAACATGCAAGTGCTTTCATCTAACACAAAAAACAGTTTGATATAATTGTTCTGTATTTTGAATTTCTAGAGGTTATGAAAATAACAATATCTGAAATGAAAAATACATGGAGTAAGATTAACACTGAAGATTAAACTTAAATGAACCTAAAGAAGTGTAACAGAAATTATCCAAATAGAACACAGAGTAAAGTTTCAAAAAAATAGTCAAGTGACAGTAATGTAAGAGACAATAAAAGCAGTCAAGTATATACATGTAATGGGAATCCTAGAAAAAGGAGAGAGGGAGGACCAAGAAAAGTTTAAAGAAATCATGGGCAGATATTTTCAAAGTGTAATGTAAGCTAGAAACAGATCTAAGAACACCAAAGCACCCCAAGAAGCATAAACAAAGAAAATTCAATCAAGGCACATCAAAATCAAATTCCTGAAAACTAGTGAAAAGGAGAAAAATCCTAACAGCAGCAAGGGAAAAAAAAGATATGTGGAGAGAGGAATAAGATTAATAAAAACATCAAGCTTCACAAGAAAAACTACCCAAACCAGAAAAAAATGGGATGACAACTTTAGAGTGCTGAAGGAAAATTTAAAAGCCATCAACTTAGAATTATAAGCTAAGTGAAAACGTATTTCAAAACTGAAGACAAAACTGAATGAAAATGAAATTACAAAACATCAAAATTTGTGAGATGCAACTAAAACAGTGCTTAGAGAGTAATGTATAGCATAAAATACTTATGTTAGAAAAGAATAAAGATCTTAAGTCAATAATCTAAGCTTCTACTTTAAGAAATTAGAAAACGAAGATCGAAACCAAGCAGAAGGGAGGAAAAATAAAGATGAACAGAAATTAATAAAGCTGAAGCAGAAAAATGATAGAGAGAATAAATGATGCCAAAAGTTGATTCTTTCAAAAGATTGATAAAACTAATCAAATGTTAGCTTGACAAAGAAAAAAGAAAAGTGACAAGGTACCAATATCAAAAACTAGGATATATAAAAACATCCCCCAATGTATTTTATGAGACCAGTATTCTTTGTAAAGTCAGCACAAAGAAATAGAACTACACACTGATATTCCTTATTAACATAGATACTAAAATCTTTAACAAAATAATAGCAAATCTTATCAGCAATATAGGAAAATAACACTACATCATGATAAAACAGGAATCATCTCAACAATTCAAAGCTGGTTCAATTTTTTAAAGATTTTTTTATTGGGGAATTGGGGGAAGGGAACAGTGTTGGGGAACTGGGGAAGGGGAACAGACAAGTTGCTGTCCTTTTGTTTCTCAGTCTAGTTGTGGAGGACGTTGCTTCACTGGCCCATGTTGGTATTATCATTGCGCTCTTCCCGGGTGAGGCAGATCGGTTGCCCACCATTGGACGGCCGCTCACAGTGGCTCTTGGCAGCTCACACTGGCTGCCAGCCACTCACAGTAGCTCACAGCAGCCCACTGCAGCCCCACTGCAGCCTACGCCATCGCTGGTGACTCACCGCGACCCAGCTCCAGGTTGAGCTGTTGTTCACCATCTTAGCTGTAGAGGTGCAGCGTCACTGGCCCCGTGTGGGATCCAAACTGGGGCCCTGCTGCTCAGAGCTGGCGTCCCAAGCCAACTCTTAACCAATGCACCACTCAGCTGGCCCTGGTTCAACATTTTTAAATCAACCAAATTAATCCAACATATCAACTGTGTAAAGAAAATTCACATGATCATAAAAATTGATACAGGAAAGTATTTGACAAAGCATGGAATTCATTCACAATTAAAAAAAAAACTTTCAGTAAACTTGGAATAAAAGGGCACTTCCTCAATCTGATAAAGGGAAACCAATGGCTAATATCATACTTGATGATGGGAAGTTAAATGATTCCCCCTGAGATTTGGACAAAGACAAAAATGTCCACACTTAGCACTTTTAGTCAACATTGTACTTGAAGTTCTAACAAGTGCAACAAGACAGGGAAATACATAAAGACAAACAAATGTGAAAGAAAGACATGAGGTGTCCTAGTTGCACATCACATATTTATCTAAGAAGAAAAATCAAAGCGATCTACCTCAAAATCACCTGGAATTAATAATTGATTTAGCAAGATCACAGGTCAATACATAAAAGTGAACCTATTTCTATACACTAGCAATGTATAAAAGGAACCCAAAATTAAAATAAAAGTATAATTTTCAATAATCCTCCCCCCAAAGATTAAATATTTAGATATATATCCAACAAAACCTGTAATGGACCTATATGCTGAAATTTACCAAATTCTGACAAAATAAACCGGACTCTAAACAAATGGAGACATAGATTGGAAGATGCATCATAGAAGATTTCAATTCTCCACAAATTGATTTGCAGATTTAACAAAATATCACTCAAAATCTCAGCAAGAATATTTGTAGATATAGACAAACTGATTTTTAAATTTATAAGTACAAGGTACAAAGGAACGGAAACATCCAAAACAACGTTGGAAAAGAGGGGGGAAAGGTTGTAGGAATCACCCATCCAATTTTAAGACTTATAATTAAGAGTCATAAAATCTATGTGGGATCAGCAAAGCAGTAGATGATGGGACAGAATTGA